AATGTGGCGCTGCACTCTGAAGTTGTAGGAGAAAACATTTATCAAAAAGGATTTTTAATTAAGTAGAACGTGTTGTCTATATTTATTTAAAGTTGCGCATTTTGATGTGACGTCACATTTATCAACCCCCCCCCCCCTCGTCACACGTCGTCACAAATGTCTGACCCCCCCCCCCCAGGTGCGTGACGTCATTTATGGACGGCCCCGTACAACATTCTCGTTATACCCAGATATGATGTAGTTCTCGCGGCGTGCTTCCCGGGTCGCTGGTGGACTGTGGTGGACTGTGGTTGACTGTGGTAGGCGCAATCATGGCGATATGTGGACTGGATGTGGTGTGCCGGGTGGACGACCTGTACGAACTCGACCGAAGTGAATCTCTGGTTGGACCACGGGTTCCAACTCTCAGTTTAGCACGCTTCGTCTTGTATCGAGCTTCCCCCCTCCCCCCATCAGTTTGTCTACTTACTAATAGAAATGTAAGGCGTTACACGCTAAACGCGCCTAATGATTGGTAAACACGTCACGCGTTACTCAGTGCCTTCTCTGTGTCACGTTTGACATAAAGACAAAGATCCCCCGTATAGCCTTATCAAACTGTTGGGGAAAGTGCTGTCATCGAGCACCTATGATGGCCGACACTGCACACGAAGCGGTGGGTGGCCAACACCACGCCCGGCCGCCTTTGTCTCCCCAGCATCGATGTTCACACATCGCACCAGGTACTCATTCTAGTCAGAGTCAATGTAGGCGAGGCCCAAGAGCGTTTCAGATAATCGTCACTGGCGTTGGCCCTGAATCGAACTCGGGTCCACCGAGTTCATAGCACAGTGCGCTAACCAATGCGCCACCGCTCCCCGCCACGCGCACGCACGCACGCACGCCGACACAAGAAACGACCCCCAACATCTCTCCCCTCTCCCTCCATAGACGGTCACGCGCACGACCCCAGAAGCCGAGCGCTCTCTCCTTCGTCCGCACGCTTTCCTCCTCTCGGTGTCGCCGCCGCCGCCTCCTCCTCGATGTGCCACGTGGAGCCGTCCCTAGCGGCCCGGCCCCGGTGTCTCTCGATGAGTCGGCGGTGGCGAACGTTGGCCGCCCACGTCTCCCATCGCGGCTTGAACACCAGGGCGATGCTGCCGAGAAGCACAAGCGACGTGAACGAAGCGAGCGCTCCCACGCACGCCCAGCGGCGTTGCCAGTCCGACATGGAGCCGGAGCCGGAGTCGAACCCGGCACCGTCGGGGACGCGGGCGGTCGATCGGCGTTGAGCCATCGTCACCTCGCGGCGGCGGAGGAGCGCGGTCGGAGGTCCGAGAGATATGAGCGGCAGCGGTGGCGTGAGATGCTGCTGGGCTGCTCGATGTTCGACTCTCGGATGTTGAAGTTGCCGTTCGTTCTGTTGGCGGTGGTGGTGCTGTTGTGAGTGTTGCAGGTGTGGATGCGGTTGTGACTGCTGCTGCTGGTGCTGCTGCTGCTGCTGTTGTAGCAGTAATAGTTGCTGTTGTTGTGGTTGTTGTTGTTGTGGCGGTGGTTGTTGTTGTTGTGGTGGCTGGTGGCTGGGTGTTTGAGATGTGAATGTTGTCAGCGGGGAGACGTGTGGTTGCTGGCAGCCACGCGTGGAAGTCGTGACCTCGCGCGGGGAACTGGGGTTAGAATGACACAAACAACGAATGCTCATCATCACAAGGCCATCACAACACAATCGCTACACAAAATGCCATCATTGCGACATAGCAACGTGAAATATCGTCAAGGTCAGTCTACTCCGGTTTACTCTCCCACATTCTACTTTTGGTTCCCCGCCCCATAGATTTAGCACAGTTGGCTACGTACGGTGCGAAATACGTTTAGCATGCACACACACACACACACATTTAGCAAACGCTCACTAATGCCATTGGACATGTAACCGAACAGAGTAGGACTCTCTTTAATAAAAATAAAAAATTCGGGAAAGGGAATTATCACTGGTATTATTATGATACCTGTGGATTCGAGCGGAATAGATCCGCTGGACGAGATCATGGCCAGCTTGACGAGACTCGTGGCGTAGTGGTAGCCAAAGGAGAGAACGCATCCAAGGGGACGCGGGAGATGGAGCCATGATATTGGGTTGACGTGCAAGCAGGACGGGAGGTGGATGATTGAAGCAGCACGAGAGAGCGAGCGGATGGCCACGGCGAAGGTAGGACTTCAGCCGGCAGTAGATAGACAATGACTGATGATTGTGATGATCTAATCAAATGTGAGACGGATTTAAAAAAAACGGTTACAAATTATATATAATGGGTAAACAGTCAACGTGTCTCCTCCTTCACATATAATCCATCTCTCCGCATACAAAAACAAACTAAAGCATTTCTCACTTGACTCATCAGCCGCACATCCTTTCTGGGAGGACATAATATCAGTAGCATTGATTCAGGATAAGCAATCAGTGCTGCTGGATTTCTGCACTACCAGACGGCCGTTGTGTAAGAAATACTTGTTTTAATCGTTGTGTAAGAAGATATGTTTTATTTGTTTACGCGGAGAGACCGATTATATGTGAAGGAGACATTTAGCTATTATTTCCACTAGATTTGAAGCTTTCGTGACTGCAAGGATTCATATTCTCAGGTTTTTTTCTGTGAAGTCACGTAGGTAAACAATTTTAATGAAAATTAATAAAAGTAAAATAAAATAAAAATAAAAAATCACGACGTTTCGGAGGCAACACAAGCTTCCGTCTTCAGGTGGAACCGTCACAGCCACGACAGCTGTATCAAGTAAATGAGAGATTACAAGAGCTACCACTCCGTATATATAATGGTTGAGGGGGGAAGGGCCCGGAAAGGCACACTTTTTTATTAATATATTATCTCCACTCCTGTCCGTCTCGTTTTCCCTGTCGCTTTGATTGCTCGTCTTCCTCGCGTCTGCCCCAATTAAAATCCTCTCGTTCGCCCCCCATTTGGCTCTCCACTAAATTGGGTTAATTTATGCCACGCGTGCGCGCAGCCAGTGTTTGTAAGGAATCATCCCAAAGACATCATCATCATCACTCGCTCGGTCAAACCGCGGCTCTGTTTCCAATTCTCTCGCTTCTTGCCTAATGGGGCGCGTGTCGTGTTGATTAATTAGGGGTGGAAGGGGTGGAAGGGGTGGGGGCCCGGGGGGGGGGCGAGGATGAGGATTGGGGAGGGGCTGGCAGAGACAATAACAATCGTTGTATCAAATGTGTTGGGATACGTGCAGCGAGTGTGATGTGTGTGTGATAAGAACAAATACACTCAACGCATTTATCAATGACGCTAAAGCCTTTTATATATATATAAATAATAAGCGACGTTTAGGGCAATGGCCCTTTTTCATAGCACAGACAAAAAGGCCGGACGGGGGTCTTGGCCACCCACTGCCCTCGTGTTCCGAGCCGGCCTCCAAAGGTGCACGCGAACAGCACTTGCCCCAACAGTCTGTTAAGGCTACATGGGGCAGCAGTGTCTTTGTATGCATAATTGAAATGTGCATGTTGTAAACGCACGGTCATACACGAAGACAAAGATCCCCCGTATAGCCTGCGACAAGTCACTGGGGCAAGTGCTGTTAGCGAGCACCTATGAATGTCAGCATGGCATACGAGTTTGTGGGTGGCCAGCCACACACAAACCCACACACGTACATACCCGGGCGTGGAGCAGGGATCTTCGCGGGGAGGACAACCCGACTCTCCGGGACCCCCCGCGACACACGGAGAGCCGTGACCTGGGCAGAGAGGTTGATCCCCCATGCTGGTGGTCATAGTGGTGGTGGTGGTGGTCGTGGTGGTGGTGTCCGTGTTACAGCGGTGGGCACCTGTACACACGCGTTTGCGGCAGGTAGAACATGGTGTGAGTGTTGGGACGGGCGAGTGGATGGACGAGTGCGTGGGTTAATGAGTGAGTAATTGGGTGGGCGAGTGAGCTCGTGGGCGGATCAGTGGGTGGGTAAGTGGGTAGGTGGGTCAGCAGGCGGATAGATGATGAATGGGTACGTGTGCAAATGGGTGCGTGAACATGGGTACGTTCGAAGTGGAGCGGTTAGCTCCAAAACCAGTGACGATTATCTGCACCGGTCCTCGGCCTCCCCTAGGTCTACTCAGCCTCAAATGAGTAACTGTTGCAGTGTGTAAATATCGCCACTGGGGAGACAAAGGCGGCTGGGTGTGGTGCTGGCTAACAGCACTTGCCCTAACAGTCTGTCAAGGTTATATAGGGGATCTTTGTCTTCGTAGGTTCGTCAGCTTGTGGGTGAATGAGCGGATTTGTGAATGCGTGAGTGTGTAGGCGAATGGGTGGGTGACTGAGTCGGTGCTTGGATATGTGGGCGAGTGAGTGAGAGAAAGAAACGAGTAGTAAGAGTGTGAGTAGTTATCTTCGTGCAGTCAGTGGATGGGCCATTGAGGGAGGCAGTGAGCGAGTGATTGGGTGTAGGTGAGTGAGCGTGTGGGTGAGTGGGGTACGAGAACAACGCGATCGTGCGTGCGAGCGAGCGAGCGCGTATGAATTAGTGAATGGGTGTACATATAATCGCGTGGATGGGTTAATGAATCGGTTACAATGCACGAGTCGGTGGGTGACTCGGTGAACGAGAGTTGAAGCATCATTTTTTTTGTAACCATCTCATTGAGATGGATATCAGTTCCAAATAGAAGTGTTTTTTTTGTTATGTTAATGTCCGTCGCTGTGCCTTACAGCGGAAAATAAAGCCTCGTCTTCGTGTTTCATCTGTTCACGTCCGGCTACACCACACATGAATCAGCATCAGAGTATTTAATTACCCTGGAGGAATCCGATCAGCTATAAAGCTCTTTTTTCACAGATTTCCAGTACGCGATCAGAACGTTGTAACAACAATCAATACAAAAACACGATAGCGTGCAAAGTACGGGAAAGGTAAACGAATCGTTTAACAAATATACAAATAAAACAAAACTATTTTTTCATCTTACCAGAAACGACCTGGCCACAAATTATATCTCAACGAAGTGGCTTATCAAGTGGTAATTTAAAGCACGGGGACTCGTTACCACAATCATTATCACAATCTTCATCACAATCATCATCATATGCATCATCACCACAATCATCATCACCACAATCATCATTATCACCACAAACATCATCACCACAATCATCATCACAATCATCACCACAATCATCATCACCACAATCATCACAATCATCATCACAATCATCATCACAATCATCATTTTATGCATCATCACCACAAGCATCACAATCATCATCATCACAATCATCATCATCACAATCATCATCATCACAATCTTCATCACAATCATCATCACAATCATCATCATATGCATCATCACCACAAGCATCACAATCATCATCACCACAATCATCATCATCATCACAATCATCATCACCACAATCATCATCACCACAATCATCACAATCATCACAATCATCATCATATGCATCATCACCACAAGCATCACAATCATCATCATCACAATCATCATCATCACAATCATCATCACAATCATCATCATCATCATCACAATCATCATCACCACAATCATCACAATCATCACATCCACGCGTGGGTGTTGCGTGACTGTTGGTGGATCACGTAATGGCCCTTTCTTCATACCACAATAAATAATGCATGTGCTATGAAGGCCCATTGCCCGAAACGTTGCCTAAAATATATTTCATATTCTTTGCGTCTTTCGGTAAAGTCACGTAGATAGGTTCAAAGAAAAATAACAAAAAACTACGACGTTTCGATCGCAACACAGGCGTTCATCATCTTTGAACATATCTACAGTACGTGACTTTATCGAAAATACCCAAAGAATTTCAATACATGCAGTCACGAAAGGTTTAAGTCAAGATAAAACGTAGTAATGATTTTACTTTTAAGGCCACACTGCTGTAACCGAATATGTTGAGCGTTTCGTTTAAACATTCAGATTAGTCGCTTATCATGTTTTCGTTGCTGCTGCTGTAAGGGCAGTGCTACTGAGTGTGTTGTTGTTGTTTTGTTGTCGTGTTATCTCTCTCCCGCGCTCTGTGGTTCACACCGCCGGTGGTGAGAGGCGAAGAGTGACAGCGCCCAGCGCGTTATCGCGCGACTCACGAATTCAATTAACACAGCCCCCCCCCCCAACAGCCCCCCGCAGCCCCCCCCCCCCCCCAACAGTCCCCACAGCCCCTCCCCCCAACAGCCCCCGCAGCCCCCCCAACTCCCCCCGCACCCCCCCCAACTCCCCCCGCACCCCCCCAACAGCCCCCGCTGCCCCCCCAAATCCCCCCGCACCCCCCCCAACTCCCCCCGCACCCCCCCCAACTCCCCCCGCACCCCCCCCAACAGCCCCCGCTGCCCCCCCAACTCCCCCTGCACCCCCCCAACTCCCCCCGCACCCCCCCCCAACTCCCCCCGCACCCCCCCCAACAGCCCCCGCTGCCCCCCCAACTCCCCCTGCACCCCCCCCAACTCCCCCCGCACCCCCCCCCAACTCCCCCCGCACCCCCCCCAACAGCCCCCGCTGCCCCCCCAACTCCCCCTGCACCCCCCCAACAGCCCCCGCTGCCCCCCCAACTCCCCCTGCACCCCCCCAACAGCCCCCGCAGCCCCCCCCAACTCCCCCCGCACCCCCCCCCAACTCCCCCCGCACCCCCCCCCAACAGCCCCCGCAGCCCCTCCCTCCAACAGCCCCCCGCAGCCCCCCCCCAACAACCCCCACAGCCCCCCCAACTCCCCCCGCAGCCCCCCCCCCAACAGCCCCCGCAGCCCCCCCCCAACAGCCCCCCCCCCAACTCCCCCCGCAGCCCCCCCCAACAGCCCCCCCCCCAACAACCCCCGCAGCCCCCCCCCAACTCCCCCCGCAGCCCCTCCCCACAACAGCCCCCACCCCCCACCCCCACGCGTGTATCAATTAAAGCAAAGCGCGCGAGTGGGGAGGGTGATGACCCACGGGTGACGAACACGCAGAGAACGCCCGCGCCGCCCGGCGTCTCTCTGCACGATGCAGGCGCGTGTGTCTGGGGGCAGCCTGGTGGGGAGCGGTAGTGTAGCGGTGAGCGCAGCCTGGTGGGGAGCGGTAGTGTAGCGGTGAGCGCAGCCAGGTGGGGAGCGGTAGTGTAGCGGTGAGCGCAGCCAGGTGGGGAGCGGTAGTGTAGCGGTGAGCGCAGCCAGGTGGGGAGCGGTAGTGTAGCGGTGAGCGCAGCCAGGTGGGGAGCGGTAGTGTAGCGGTGAGCGCGCCGCGCTACGGACCCGGCAGAAACCCCAGTTCGATTCCCCGCTCAAGGCCAACAACACCCAGTGACGATTAATTGATCCGGTCCTGGGATCCCCCTAGGTCGACTCAGCCTCAAATGAGTACCTGACGCGGTGTGTAAAAACATCGCCACTGGGGAGACAATGGTGGCCGGGCGTAGTGCTGGCCACCCACCCCCTCGTGTGCCATAGTGTCGACCCAGGTCATTGCTACTCGCTCACAGCACTTGCCCCAACAGTTTGTTAATGGCTCTATACGTGAATCCACGGTTCCCATTGTGAGAGATGGAGAGGGTGACACACAGAGGTAGAGGGGGTTACAGAGGTTGTAGGAGAGAGAAACAGAAATAATGAATGAGTGGGAGAGGAGAGGCAGAGAGAGTGAGTTACTGAGAGAGACATTCAGGCAGATAGAGATGGAGAGAGTTGGCGAGAGAAGGGTGATAGAGAGAGAGACGGAGTGGATGAGATAGCGACAGAAAGAGAGAGTGTGACAGAGAGACAGAGTCGGGGCGAGAGAGACAGAGAGATATAGATAGTGGGCGAGGAGAGAATGGTGATATACAACCACATGGTGGGTGCGTGAGAGGCGTAAAGAGCGCGATAAAGAGTGGGCGAGAGAGAGAGAGGGTGAAATACATCAGACGGAGAGAGAGAGAGAATGAGTGGGCGAGAGAGAGGGTGAAATACATCAGACGGAGAGAGAGAGAATGAGTGGGCGAGAGAGAGAGAGTGACATAGAGAGACATGGAGAGGTCAATCCTCGCTGCGCCCCCCCCCCCCCCGCACACATCCCAAGACGCCCATCAATTACAGAAGCACAATCGAGTGCGACGTTCACTGCGCTCGCGTAATTAACTCCCACGTGGGCAGAGTGGCGTCACGGTGCAGGCGGAGTCGTTAGAATCGCCGCTCCGTCCGTCCCTTCGCATTCATCCCCCGTCTGGGTTACAGCGAGGTTGGTTGGCATGGGCCTCGGTGCAGGAAATTAAACAAAAAATAAGCAGCAGGATGAGCAACCAACAGGGAAATTTAAAGTGTGTTGTTATTGTTGTTGGTGTTGTTCGGGAAAATGGAAGGAAACGGAAAGAGAGGAAGACCTACCAGAAAATAGCTTGACGGCGACGACGTAAGAAAGTGGTGCCAGAAAGACGTGGCACTAAATGAGCATATTGGCACAAGACAGAGTAAAGTGAAAACAAATGACGAGATGTGCAGTGGACGGACTATTTGCCCATGATGATGATGATGATGCTCATCAGGTGGTGCTCAGAGAACTCAAGAGAATGTGGCCCCATCAGAGGCGTGCCACCGCCAAACCAACACCAGCACCTGCTCCCTCACCCTGCTTCTCACCTGGAGTGGGACTCGAACTCAGAGGCCGTGGCCTCCGTGTGTCGCACAGCGCCCCCGTCCAGCCTGGCCGGCACCTGTGTGCAAACAGAAACGAGCCCGCGAGTCGCTCACAACTCCGGCTACAATACTCCACTCCGGGTTTTACAGTCTCAGTTGCATGACGCGTGCAGGTGGATTCCACGATTATTGGATTGCGTTGGCAGTGACTGCATCATCAGTGCTGCTTACTCCCGCAGAGACCATTACACTCACATCGAGGCGCATAGACTCACAAAGAGACCGTAGATTCAATTTGAGACCCACAGACTCATAGCAACCCATCGACTCACGGATAACCCCATTATTATACTCTTAGGTTTTTTCGTTCAAGTCACATAGGTAAAAAAAATAGTAATAAATGAAAATAACTCAATTAAATCACGACGTTTCGGAGGCAACACAAGTCTCCGTCTTCAGGTGGGACCGTCACAGCTAAATTTACTGTATCAGTAAACGGAGACTTGTGTTGCCTCCGAAACGTCGTGATTTAATTGAGTTGTTTTAATTTATTATTATTTTATTATTATTATTATTTTACCTACGTGACTTTACCGAAAAAATCTAAGAGTATGAATGCTTGCAGTCACGAAAGCTTCAAATCTAGAACCCCATAGATTCACACAGAGATCCAGAGGCTCATAGAGACTCACAGACTCGCAAAGAGACCCACAGCCTTACATAGAGGCCCATAAACTCACATCGAGGTCCTATAGACTTTCATGCGGATTCACAGACTCACACGGAGACCCATATTCTCACACGAAGAAGCACACACACAACCTGAGTGCTTATTCTTTGGGTCTTTCGGTAAAGTGACGGAAATAAGTTCAAAGAAAATATAACAACAAAAACAACAAAAAACTACGACGTTTTGATCACAACACGATCGCTTGTGTTGTGATCGAAACGTCGTAGCCTTTTGCTATTTTTGTTATGTTTTCTTTGAACCTATTTATGTGACTCACCGAAAGACCCAAAGAATATGAATTCCTGCTGTCACAAAAGCTATAAGTCAAAACTTGAGTGCTTCTCAGACGGGAACTAGGAGATGAGTGTACAGCAAGTGGGTTCATGAACCCGTCTGCATGGACGTCTGAGTGTTAAACTTATTTGCATGCTTGGGGGTTGTCCAGGTACTCTGATCTCCTCGCACACAAAGCGAAACTCTCATTAATAGATTTGGCCCAATGTCCCAATGTATCAGCCTGCGGACAATAAAACACACACACACTCTTGAGATTCACCAAGGCTCTCCGAATAATACTCTTTGGTTTTTTCGGTAAAGTCACGTAGGTAAAAAATTTAAATAAATTTAATCACGACGGTTCGGGCGCAACACAAGCGTCCTTCTTCAGGTGGGGACAACTTAGCGAAAGCTTATTTAAAATTTTTACTTAGGTGACTTTACCGAAAAAAACAAAGAGTATGAATCCTTGCAGTCACGAAAACTTCAAATCTAGAACTAAAGTGTACAATTAAGACATTTTTCTCTGTTGAAAAAAAAGAATTGTTCCATAAAAATAATAACGATTTGAAGGGAAAGGGTTCAAAGTTACCTCAATATTGGACAGGTACCTCGAGACAATGACTGGGCAGAGGAGTAAGGAGGAATATCGCTCTTTGATCAATTAAGCATTGGGAAACCCTGTATATTTGCGTATGAATTTAATTCGAGGTGACTGGGTACAACTGAATTATTCACCCGGCTCCCCACCGAGTCAGTTACGCGGCATTCATATGATGATATTCACTATGTTCAATAGTAATTTGTTTTTTGTAAGCAAAGTACATTGTCTGCTTTGTCCAGCACAGGCGTTAAACATTACGCGACGTCATCCTCGTGAGGATACCATTGTGTGCCTCTGTAATGAGCAGCCTGGATTTCCGA